GTATCATTTCGTTTATGGCCCGAACCCCATCGACTATTTTTTTGTGAAACGGCCTACCGTCTGGTCGGAAAAAACTTTTTGTGTCTGTGTGTGTGTCTGTCCACACGATAATTCGAGAAGGAATTTATCATGTCCGTCGCTGGGTGCCTTTACTGACGGTCAGAGCCAGCGTCTGGGACTGTGGGAGGAATGACGTATCTCCATGTCGGTCGTAACTCAAGTCTCTTTATTATTTGGTACGAGGGTTTATATAACCTTTTCATGGTATACTCTATTTACAGTACCGTTGCCTGATGGTTGGTAGAAGGCGGTGTCTTACAATACATGACATCCACCCTCTACTAATTTTATGAATGAAATACACTTAACTCTAAAATTTGAAATATCACAGACATGTTTAATCTACAACGAAAGGAAAAGCTGGATGAGTATGTTTGTTACGATCACATACACAATATATGGTTTTACGAGAAGTGGTTGACGTTACACATTACACGAGAACAAGCATGAAGAAACTTCGTTGACATTTTTACGAGTTGTTGAGCTGAGCATTGAAGACATTTGATCTACATTAACAATCTATTAATCGAGAAATGCTTACTGAAACATTTGACTATGTTTGATGCTCTTAAATTGCAATACAACAATAATTACATTAACAGTTTTGTTTAATGGTTTAAACTGAACGTTAACTATACAAGGAGTGAATAATTGTAACTCGTACTCACTGGTAACTGAATGTGTGTGTCTACTTCCCACACTGAGGCTAAAAAAATTAATAAAAACTTAAATGCTTTTACACATGTTACAATAATTGCTGTGAAACTCTAATGTTTACATTACTGATGCAAATGATTACTAACTGAAAGAGCTTGGAGCTCCTGGAACGGGATGGATGATTAATCATTGAAAAAGAGATAAAACAACACCAATAAATGATGGTTTTGGGGTGATCCCTCCCGGATGCAATGATTAAAAAAATTGGTTAGCAAATGGTTTGATTGACGTGATAAGCGATACAATTGCAACAAATAATGGTTTGGGGATGATTCCTCCCGGATGCAATGAAATTTTTATGAATGACAAACATAATGAACATGTCAATGCACTTGCTTGAAACATAGACCATTGGTAACAGGAAATGAACTTAAAAGCTAAACACAGGCGTTTGAGAATGAATCCAATTGGTTAACACTGAAATTTTGTGTTTCCTTTGAATCAAGAATGAGAGCAATGATGGTGCAAAAATAGACAGAACTCAAATCTAAAGATTTTTGATTTAAGATAACAATACAAACTAAGAATGCTAAGTAAGACTTAACTGAGAGTTGACTAACTTTTAACTAAGAAACCTATACAATAGTAAACTAAGATTTAACTAACAGTGCACTAAGGATTAAACAATATCTAAACTACAGGGAGCTACCCTGACCTAGGTTTTTAACATTTTTTTTTATTTAAAAAAAAAAAAAAAGATTTGAGCGCGCTTGAGAAGGTGGGCGTCCCCGACACTTCAACTTGATTTGGCTATTTGATTGCCGAAACACAGGCTTAAACATAGCCTACACCGTCGCAGCTGTGACTTATTGCTGGACTGAATTATCATGGTTTTATGGCCCATGTGACCGCAAGAGGTAATTAAATTACTTTTAAGATTTGCAATACTGAGTGTGTAGGAGCACACTGTCGCGGACAAGCCGGACTAATTTAACTTTTAGTTGATTAAACGATTGCTGAATGCTTGACTGCTTGGACATGTTTAACAGTTTTAAAATTGATTAAATTGATAAGATAAGCGATGACTGCACATTAAGTTTTGACTGCCTTAACTGGCTGAATACAACATATATAAAGGTTCATAATTGAACATAACTGAATCATTATAATTGCCAATGCAACCTCGAAGGAGACATTATGTCTGAATTCTGATGACTGGATAAGAAACTACCAGTTGATGTATTAAACTATGCTGAAGCTGATGAGTGTGAACCTTACTCGGCGAAACCATTTAACCCCAAGGGCAGCTGAGGGACGAACCCAACAACTGTGGACGCACATTTTGAAAAATAATAGGCAAACTCGATACAGCTTAGATAGATACAAACGATACAAATGCAAACAGTAATGGAAGCGTTGAGATGGCCAGTCTAGCCTTCCTTTCCACGTGGTGGTTGCTTGCTTGCTTGCTTGAGGTGCATGGTGAGTTCGACTGATGTGATGTTCTTGGAGACGTCCTCCCGACGTTTAAATTTGAAAAATTTTAACTTAAGTAAATTCGAATCTGATACTCGTCGCCAATATCATGTCCGTCGCTGGGTGCCTTTACTGTCGGTCAGAGCCAGCGTCTGGGACTGTGGGAGGAATGACGTATCTCCATGTCGGTCGTAACTCAA